CCCAGCAAGGAAGAAATGTGGAAGTTCCAGCTTCTTTTGTGTTACAAGTTTCCAAAATATGAGGAAATAAGCCAAATGCCTTTGGCTTTCAGTGATAATCTAGTCTGAATGAATGACTAACGAGAAAACACCCACTGAGCAGTTCACGGACAGTATCTCTCCAGAGGTCAGATCCTGTTGGCGAATGACCAAAGAGCCGGGCTCTCTCTAGCCAGCCAACCACTTCTACCGCCAGGAAGCACTTTGCTTTCCACTCGGCATTGTAAAGGCAAGTGATGAAAAAGTGTCAGCTGTGGTTCATCTAGTAACTCCCCCGAATATCCTAAAACTCGTGTGGGAGGCACGGTTAATTTGGGGCCTCAAATGCTCTGAAGGGAAATTGTTTTTTAAAGCAGAACTGTAAAGATACAGTTGGTTTTTTTGTTAAAAGAAAAATGAGATTTTTAATGTTCTCAGTTAGTAACTTAGTGGGTAAACGACAATGCTCCAAGTTTAACTGGAAGGCAACAGAATGATAACGAAGTCCCCTACAACTAAAATGTCTTCATAAATTTGCTTCATTTTAGATTTTGAGGATTTCATCATTATTATTTTTGATGGTATGAGTTTGAACTCAGGGCCTCTGGTTTGCTAGGTGGCCTACCACTTGAGTCAAACCATAGGCCTCACTAACATTAACGTCTACGCTTTTCTCTGATTCTAGTGAGAAACAGTTGAAAGATTCCAGTTAATTTCTTAATGCAAATTAGGGGAAAACATCAATATAAATTTTACAATCACGTGCTCATGGTGCATCTGTTGAGCACCTGCTGCACACGAGAAAGGCAGTTAGGAACCGGGAGACAGAGAACATTCTGGACAAGGTACATGAGCTTTCCACTTGCATGGAGTGTATAATCTAGTTGGAAATTTTCTTTTTTTTGGTGGCACTTGGGTTTGAACTCAAGGCCTCACACTTGCTAGGCAGGTGCTCTACTGCTTGAGCCACTCCACCAGCCCTTTTTTGTGATGGTTTTTTTTCAAGATAGGATCTCATGAACTACTTGCCTGGGCTGGCCTCAAACCACGATCCTCCTGATCTCAGCCTCCTGAGTAGCTGGGATTACAGGCGTGAGCTGCCAGAGCTTGGCTCTCTCTAGATGGAAATCTTGCATTAAGCAAGTTAATAATGCAGAATGAACAGCTTTTACTTTACTTAAGGAACTATGGTTTTCTGCAGAGAAGAGGGGGTCTTATCTAGATTTGGATCTCACAAAAGTTTCAATTAAAATTTAAAAAATTCAGAAAGGCTTACTGTAGATACACTAAATGATTTCTGAATGTAAAAAAAAATGACAAAAGACAATTTTTAATGTAAAAGTGTTAGTTGTTCTAGAAATCCCTTTAGTCAAAGCAGTTTCCGGGGAATGGTGACAATTTTAGGTTAATGGCTGTGGCCTTCATGTTTGGCCTTCAATTAAATGTGGACTTCAAGTGTTATTAGTTAATTGAGTTGGTTATATTTCATGTCAGCATTTCAAAATGACCTTCTTTTAAGAAAATAAGATGTCACCTGACATAGTGACATGGGTCTTTAGCTGAGCCTGACGTGGTTGCCCAGCCTGCGCTAACTTTTAATGTGGCTGAGCCTTGGATTCACTTAGCCTTGCTGCCACTATGGTACCTTCCCGTCATCCTTGCCTAAGACATGAGACAGCTCAGGGTAAGTCCAAGTGAGGGAAAAGGGGTGAGAATGATATATGTGGGTTGCTAAATAAATTGACTGAGATCTGCTTTAGTCTAAGTTTGGGGACTAGACTGTCCTAAGAAATGCCTGACTAAAAACTGTCAGGTTATGCTCCTTTAAAAATGTGACTATGCACACTCCAAGTAACTCCAAATGGTTCATTGTTCTAGGTCACTAGATGAAAACTTAAATCTCTTTCTCACACATGGAGTGGCAAGAATGAGTTGGACTTATTAATCGACATCTTGGATTTTCTATAAAGTAGATATGACACCCAGATTGAACTCCGGTGTACTGACTGACGGCATCAAGGGAGCATGCCCCTCCTCCCCCCCCACCCCCCGGTACTGTGGAAAAGTTTTAAGTCTTTTTGAAGTACTTTGATCAAGCTTTGAAATCATTTTAGTGGATTACTATTGTATGAAAACTGTAATTTATAGTGCTTGACCTAAGCAGTTCTTTGTCTCACAGCCGTGTCCAAAACAATAGCAGGAAAGTGAAAAGCACAAGGGAACCCAATTTCTTCTGGGTATTATTTAATTAATAATTCCGTCTTCCTTATTTAATCTTTGGAATTCAGGCATGCTCTCAGCAAAGCAGGTTCAGACCACGTTTTACCATGTTTGGGAGATTAGTTTTGAGTAATATGAACGACCCAAACTTTGTCACATGTGGCCCCTTCCTTAACCTGAGTGACTGCTCGGTAGACAGCTTCTCAGTAGACGGTGACACTGCAGGTAAGCTGCCACCATTTGTCTTTTAGCTTCCTCGCTAATGAAGTTTACTGTGGCTTTAACCTCAATCATGAATACGCCCATTGGGAGTCTCTCTCCCAATTCTCGCCATAAAATAGTTACACTTTGAAGCAATCTGCTCTCATCAGATACCATGGACAATGGCTAGCTGCCCCCATGATGAATGGACTCAGTAATTCTCTTACATCATACATTTTACTATTTTATCTTATAATTTTAATCAGCTGAACGCACTCGGGCTGGAAGAAGCTATAAAACCTTCCATGTTTTGTTGGCTCCTTTTGCGAAAACATCTACTGAAGGCATATCAACCTCGTGCCACATTTAACCCTGTACAACCTCATCACCTTAGTTCAAAGTTTTGTGATTGTACAGGGGCCACGTCTGTACTTGGATATTTTGGCGTGAAAGATGCTTGATTTTTTGCTGACCTCAAAGAGACTGGGACAGTTGCTCTCCCTACCCCCAACAGATGCATCAGGACTTAGATGATATGTATTTTAGTCCTGGGGTCATTTTCTAGAAAGAAAACGAGACAAAGATAGTGAGAAATGCACAGTACATGTCCACTAGCAAAGGCTGGTGAAGGGCAAGGAGGAGCAGGAAGAAGTGGAAAGGGAAGAACCACAAATGTGCTAAAGACTTAACTCAATTGAAACACCAGGTCTATCCATGGGAGCAGATTTAAAAAAGCACACATTTAAGGTGTCATGGTTCCAAAGAGGAAAGGAAACAAGGGTATAACTCCCCAGTGAGAGGGGGGTGAAGTAACTGTTCATTTTGGCACTGTGTTAATTAGTGTGGCCGACCAGGGACCACTTAGTAGATTACCTCATCAGGGCTCTAAGCAGTCCCTAGGTGACTTGTATGAGTTAATGCACTCCCCAAAGACCAACGATTTATCACTTCTCCCAGGATGAAATCAAGCCTTGCAGGTAATGAGCAGGTACACACACCTATGGCTAAAATGACTTCCCCTGAGGTCCAGCTATCTTCCTCAGACCTTAAACCTCCCCTTTTCTATGTGACCATAGGAGCATTTTGAAGAGTTGATGCACACCTCACTAGAAGACAAAAGATTCTCCATTGTTTATGGGTTTTGAGGGTGGAGGCGAAGGTGATGGAAAGGAGTCTATGAAGTCACCCTATGCGTCCGCACTGGACCATTTTGCTCTGGGCTCCATCCATACTTCAGTAAGGCCTCTCGTGTTTGTGACAGCAGTTGGCTGGCAAGCCTCCGACGTGCAGTGCGAGCTTTCCACACACCCATAACTCACCAGTACAGTGTGCAGAATGCTCCACAAGACAAGAGCTGGCTTTCACGTTCATGTTTTAATGACAGCAATAAAAATAAGTTTTCATCCCATGTCTGCTCCTCCAAAAAACCAAACAAGCAAACAACATGCAGAGATGGAACACAGACAGTATTTTTAAACAAAAGGAAACAACAAAAACAAAAACAAAAAAGCAAACTCTTTACTTCTGATGTGGGAACACTGACCCCTTCTCCCCCCCACACCTCCAACTCAAATGTAGTAGGCACAAAGGTGACATCAGTTTTTGTGTGGGTAAAGCTCAGGCTCACTACCCTATGGCAGCATGTGCAGTTTCTGCTGTTTCTTTCTCACTTTTAAGAGCCAACTTGTAAAGCCTCACTCACAAAGGGGAGGTGATGTGTCTGCTTGGGGACACATTAGGTCAGGGCTCTGAGTACAAGACTCAGTACGATTTGCAAGCATCTCTTCTAATTTCTTAATTTACTTGAGGGCTCATCATAAGTTTGTTTAATGTAAAACAAACACATCCTTGACAAGGGCTTTAACAGGATTCCATCATCTTTGCAGATAAATGTAATTTATTCCTAAAGAGAAAAGGAGCTCAAAGCATGCCAGGAAACCTGCTTTGAACCTTTTTTGTTTAAAATTGTGGTGTATGTGGTGTGTGTGTGTGTGTGTGTGTGCATGCAGGCAATCTGGTAAGGGTTTGAAATCATTCTCTTTCACTCACAGACCTGCATGATGAATTTTACACTGAAATACAAGTTGGCCTGACACCTCTTTACCATTTCATCTTCTTCTCTCTTGTGATTTAATGCAGCCTCGCTACAGCATTAAAATCCAGTTTAGGACCTGACATTTTTGCGGCCTTCAAACGGAAAAGCAGTAGGCAGTTTTGCAAACCTTCTTAGGTGCAAAATAACAAAGCAGCAATGAGAAGTCCAGACTTTTGAAAGAACCAATCACTGTGTATACCTCAGGTATTTATAGGAGTTGTACTTCATTAATATTTTCAAGTCACCTATCTATGTGACATTAAAAAACCCACGCTTCATATGCATGGGAGCAAATATTTTACTAAATACCTTTTTGATACAGATTAACTTTTAATTTTCCCAAAGACAGGTTTATAATTATGTCATTGACGTTTTGCTTTGGACTGAAGTCTGGATATGCAGTTTCTGAAGTGAATAAACTGAACAAAGACAAAATATCTTTTATTCTGCTTATTTCAAAACTGCTTGAGTTTATTTCTGGCACATTTAATTCATTTGAAGTGGAATCTTTCTAATGTCTAAATTATTTGAGTGTTATATAATTATGTGTTATAAAATGCACATACAAAGCAGAGCACAGAATGTGCTTTGAAAACATTTACTCATAAAAATAGTGGCTAACACAGTATGACAACTAGCTGTGTTAAAAATACACTCTCCACAATGTGGCCCCTGCTTCAGTCCTTACCCCTCAGCCCCAAGCCAGCCAAGCAGTGGTTTCCAGACACAATGTAACTAATACTTTAAATGAGATAAATATAAAAATGCTGGGTGTTCAAATAAGCATTATAAAAAGAGGAAATTCTCATCACGTGTGTTTTTGCAGCTTGGCCTGACGCCTCAGAAGTCAGGAAATGGTCAAGGCTCACAGAACCAGCACACAGCCCAAGCTGCTGTGCCATGGAGGTTGCTGGAATCCTGCAGGTGCCAGCGAGAAGCTCGTCAGACTTATTCCGTGAGGGTAATGCAACACTGGGTGTCTGTAAGTGCACACGAAGAGAAAGGGGAGGGAGAGAGAGCGAATGGAGGCTTAGGGGAAAAATGAGGGGGTGATTGGATAGCTGGGAGGAGGACTGAAAAATCACACCTTGCAGACTCTGCAGTTTTTCTTTTGTGTGGTGTACAGGAGAAACCATCGGAAGGAAGAAAGTTATGACTATCTATAAACTAATTGTTTGACAGAGACAGATACGCTGATAATGAGTGGGCTGTGTCTGTCGTTCTTGGCTGTTCACATCAGCAAGGGATGAAGGGAAACAGAAACTCTTGATATGTTTGTCTAGAGAGGTAGCAGTGTGACCACAGCAGCGAGTTCAGCTGAAGTTCAGAGCAGATGTTGTCAGGAGTTTGCACTGCAGGAAAGGAAAACTGCTTCCGGATTCACCTCCTCCTCCCAGCTTCTCTTCCAGGATTTTCAGGGTCAAGCCTTGCCATGGCATAAGGTGACAATGTCCGTGGGGAAACAGTCTTTGAGCAGGATCCCTCTCTCCCGGTTGCAGTCCAGCTCCTGGATAAATCCATACCAATAGATGACTAAGCCCGGCCCAAACCTGCAAGAACACCAGAAAATAACATTCACACACAGTGTCAGCACAGCTCCAGAGAACAGTCATCATAGAGGTACAGATATGACAATGACTACACTAAGTTGTTCTGGTTGCTATCATTATACTGGAAGTAGCTGAACCTACACCAAGAAACTCATTTAATGCAAGTGCAACCACCTTGGATGGATCTATTTCCTGTCTTTCCAGGAACCTGAAGTATTTCAGATACAGGAACTACACAACACCTTTCAGTAAGGTGTCACATACTTGGGCTGACATGACTCCCTAGCTTCGAAGGATAAAAGTGAAATAGATGCAGTGATGAGCTGGGGAACACCTGGTTTGGGAGTTTAGTCTCTTAATATTTAGTAGTATTGCTTTACAAATTAAACATGCCCACTTCGATTAAGGAAGAAAAAGAATGTTTGAATAGCCAGGTGTGGTGGTGAATGCTTGTAATCCCAGCACTGGGGAGGCTGAGGCAGGAGGATCTCGAGTTTGAGCCTGACTTGGGCTGTAGAACGAGACCTTGTCTCAAAAAGAAAAGAATGTTTGAAATATAATTTTATAGAATGGAAAAGCTTACAGTCTTCTCTGGCTATAATGTTCCATTCACGCATGAGCAGGGCCAGAGTACTTTCCAATCTTAAAAAAAAAAAAATCTGTAAGTGGGATTCCTTAAACAGACCTTCTACATACGTTACAACCTAAGTGCAGAGACAGCATGAGATGTGGTTGTAGGTTCTCAAAGAAATGAGGAATAAAGCCATGTGGACCTGTGACAAAGCAAAGACAGAGGGGAGCTTAGTGTCGCAGTGTTTCTGAGCTGCACCTCAGGACTGTCTCCAGTTTTGTCAGCAGGGCTAGTCCCCGCCGGGCAGACTCAGGAAGTGGTCTCCAGAGTCCTTCGCCCATCAGGAAGTTGAGACCTTTGGCTGTGTTCACAAAGATGAAATCGCTATCAATCACGGTGTGCAGAACTACGTTCTGCACATCACTTTCACGTTTTTCCTACCGAGAGTTCTTAAGGGCAGCACTACTTTTGGTGTAGTGTTGCAGGAATTTTACAGCAAAATCATAAATTATGAATGTTGGGTTAGTAAAAGGATGTCTAAAAACAGACCTGCTTTCTGTATGCTAACATTACAGGCTAGGCCAAAAGCCTCTTCCTTCTATGGTTTATTACACTCTGTAGTGAACTTGCCAGAACCAACAGTACGGGATGGGCTGTGAGGCACTGCATGAACAGGAACAGGTTCAGCTGGATGTCATGAACTGGTTTATTTGGGTAGTCACATCAGTGGGTGGCCAGGTTGCATTCAGTCCTGTGTGAGGGGACAGAACCACGAGATGGTGCTCATCAGATGCTGGTGGTGCAGGGGTGCAGAAACTGGGTCCACAGCGAAGCCAGGAGTCACCTGAACTGGGGACTGGCTGCAGAGGCTCTTCTAGTCCTCTGAGTCAGAAGAATTAAGCCATCTATGCACAGGGTGTGAGCCCAGGTCTTGAACGCACACGAGCTCATAGCTAGACAAGAACTTGCTTTTGTTTAATAAAGGGTTCCTTACAACCTTTCCTTTTTCAGTGCTGGGGATTGAACCCAGGGCCTCACATATACAAGGCAAGTGCTCAACTACTAAGTCACACCTCTCACCCCCTCTTCGTAACTTTTAATCACAAACAATTGTCTGTAATGAGAACACAAAATCATTTGGTACCTTTATTTCCTAAAGAGCTCTGGGATGTGTGCTAAATGATCTCAGAGCTCTCAAGACAGGTCTAGTCACAGCCAGAAGACTGGGAGGTTCTGCAGACCATGGCTCAAACCTTCCCATTAGTGATGTACCTGTCACAGTCTCCACAAATCCAACAGTAAGCTCAACACCTTCCTCCATTTTATTACACAACCATGTTGGAGACCACAATGTTCTTTAGAAAGGCACTAATATTTTTACAAAGGGAGCAAAAAAATGTGATCTAACAAGTCATGGAGAAGAACAAAAGGATATATGGGAGGTCATAAAAAACAAGCCCAGTATTTTAAAGATTCAATAAAACAAAAACATATATCACTAGCACTGAGAGGACAGCAGCTCACACTTTCCCTGAACAGAATCATAAGCCAAAGGACACGAGGCATGACAGCTCTTTACAAAAATGGGATTTCCTAGGTGGACAGCCAGTCTGGGGACACCTTGATGCTCATGGAAATGGACTTGTTTCACTTGTGAGGCAATGGATGAAATCTGCCAGCTCACATAGGTTTTGCAAGACCGTGAACCTGAACACAGGTTGAGAACCAGGATTCCCTGAATGTAGCGATGCAGACCTATGAAAATGTTCATTTTCAGCAGGAGTTTACCATGTAGCTATGCCTTTATGGTTTCTTATGCCAGTTGGTGATATCAGCTCTCCCATGGAGCCCAAAACCTTTGGTTGATGATGTTTAATTAATTAAAAATGAGGAAACACAACTTCCCTTTGTAAGTAGAGACTGATAGGCTTTCAAATGATGAAGTCTTTGGGTGACACAAATAATAGGGTCTTTGGAGGGTGACACATTTGGACATTTAGTAGAATAGGATCTGGCTTTATTCCCAATTTCTACTCTCATGCATCTCTGAGCTTTCTCGCCAGCTCAGGATCCAGAGATTATCTGAGCGGGCAAGATAGCCCCTCAGTGAAGAGGATGACCACATGAAGCAAGTTTAATAGAGTCAATTCCTTGGTTGTCAGATCTAACAGAAAGGAAAGTTTTGGTTGATAATTCAAAAGACCAAACAACCCCAAACTGTAGTATTTCATTCTGAAAAGGTGCAAGACAGGGAGAAAAAAGGATTCCAGAAAGTTTTCACATAGGTCAAATGCATGCTTGAGGCTTGAGCAATTTCACTGTTTTGAACACTGTTCTCACTTACTGTGGCACAACTGGACAAGAATAAGATCACTGGGAAGACAAACACAATCTTTGTGACCAAATAAGAACCAAACAGACTCTATTAAGAGCATTTAAAAGAAAATGGACTCCCTGGGTCTGAAGGAATGTGAGAAGCAGAGGAGTTCTCTGCTCCTGGCAATGGAGCCCTGCTGACCAGCCCACAGATGCTCAGTAGGGGATGGGTATGAACAGCTGAAAGATGCTATAAACACTTTTCAAGATTGACTCTCATTTCAAGGTTGCTATGCTCATGGTCAAGTAATATTAAAGACTCCCCAATAAATTTTAGTCTCTTGGGGAACAGAGAGACTAGAACTAGAATGCGAGTGTCTTTGGAACAAGTATTTTTGCTTACAAAAGAAAAAAAACACCACCAGATTGGTAAAACAAATAATATCTTAAAAAAAAATATGGAAGGTGAAAGTCAAGTGCCATGACAGACCTTGAAGGCATGAAAGATGAAGTTATTCATAAATACTGACAACCTTACAAATGTGTTTCTCTGGTTTCCTTCCATTGTAGGGTATTTAGAGAAATTCAATAGGAGATTGTGGAACTAATGCTGGGTGATTTTTGTGGCTTTGTGCATACCTGTCTCTGGCGGATTATCGTCTGTTCTGGCACCTGTCTTATTCTAGGACTCTGGGGAGGGCAAATACCACATTTTATTTCTATTCATGTCCTGCCTACCCAGCACAACTATGCCTCATACATGGCAGATACCCCCCAAGGACAAGATGGACAATAGGGGGACAAAAATGACAGGATCAGAGAGTTTTATGTTCTTTATTGACACAGAGCTGGTCTAGGAGTTCTAGACCATTTTTATTAATCACTGGGATGAGCACCCTAATGACATACTTACAGATCACAGTGATAATAATCGTAATAGATGCAACAATGGTATGCGCCAGCTGAACATCCTGAAAATCTGGAATCTGAGGTGCTCCAAAACACGACAGTTCTAAGCCCTGACCTTTTGAGTAAAACCTTTTTTTATTTCGCTACAGTGGAGAATTTCACACCTTACTTTATGTGATGCATTATGGTCAAACTACAGGCATACTGACAAATAATGGCATAGCAGTAAGCCTGCTTCCTTCATGGACTTACTTATGACATGTGACTTTGACCAAGTGTGGTCAAAAAATAAATCAATAACTAAAAAATATCAAGACATCTCAAAAAGAAAAATGTAAAATTCGTGTGTGTGCATCCCGCAGCTCAGCTGATGCTGGAGCTCTCAGTCAGTCCCATGTTATCATCCATTGTGTTTAAATAGTTGTGTGATCTGCTAAGTGTTTCCCTGCCTTCAATTTTGTGAAAATCTGCCTCCCCAAAAGCAAATGGTGCCCAAAAAGCAAGGCAAAAGTGAATGCACCTATTTGAAGTAATAAAGTGAAAACTGGAGATTTGTGGCAAGGTGGCAGGTCTAGTGGAAGTTGGGTGGCGCTGCAGGAAAAGTGAATGAAGCATCCTGAACTCTATGCATCCTGATCATTGACAGGATTTCCTCAACAGTGTCTCCTTGGAACCATATGCCTGTGGATACCAATGGTCTCGTGTAAAATTACCTTCAGCCAATGTGCATATGAAACATAAATGAATTTCGTGTTCAGATTTGAGTCTCACCTCATTTGCATATACAAATATTCCAAATTCCTTAAGAATCCCAGATCTGAAACACTTCTAGTTCCAAGCATTTTTGGATAAGGGATACTCACCCTGTATTAATACCTTCCTAGTGTTTACTATGTGTCTGATACATTTCTGAGCACTTTCTGTCTGCAAGGCTGCTTAATTCTTATGCTAACCCCATGAGGTAGGCTCAATTATTGCCCCTGTTCTTCAAATGAAAAAACTGAGGCACAAAGTAATTTAGTAGGTACCTAAAGTCACAGCAAGCACCAGTCTTGGAACCCAGGTGGGCTGTGATTGTACTAGTGATGAAGTGACCAGCTGATTCAACAGAGTGAACCAGACTTCCGTAACAGAAGAGGAAGTGCCTCTGTGCTGCGTAGACAACCCCTAGGGTGTTTGGGCGGATTCTGGTGCATATGTGAAG